ATGTCCGGGATTCTGCAATCTCGGTCCGGGATGGTTCAATTCTGGACCGGGATCCTTCTAACCCAGACCAGGATCCTCCAATCCCGGTCCGGGATCCCAATTCCAGTTTTTTTTTTTTGCATTCACTCCCTCTTAATTCCAGTTTCTTTTAGCCCTTATTGTCAATTACATCTCGGGCATTTAGTGCAATTTTGGCACGACATTTATGAAACCTTAATTTTTTTTTTGTAATTAATTCCAGACAAATCTTATGCATTTATTCTTGGATCATGCAAATCTTTTTCTCACCCTAATTTAATTATTGGATAATTTAATCTACAGATTTTTTTGTTTGGATTCATTTGTTAAGTAATAAATTAATCTATATTAGATTCAAAATTTTAAAAAAAAATGTTAAGAGTTGAGAGAAGAGATTGGTGGATAATTTTACTTAAAATAAACAAGCATATTTTGGTAATTTTACAAAGACAACAAGTGGAAAGGGGTCAAAAATCCAGATGAGTTATATAATGGGGTTAGAAACCCCAATTTCACGGGTTTATTTGCGGAAACTGTTTGTTTTCGGAAATATTGTTCTCAAGAAAAATTCAGGAAAATTTGAATTTGTGACCCCTTCAATAACTGAAACTGGATAAATGACCCTATTTTCAAAAAACCTAATTTGTGACCCCTCCACCCCTTATTTATGATCCCTTAAATATTTTATTCATGGGAAAAGACCAATTTACCCTCATTGTTAATAAATGTGCATTTTTGATTTCCACCTAACCATTTCACCAAACTGTAAACTTATATTTTACATATGTTTGAACTTGTCAATATTTTAGATTATGTAAAATTCATAGATCACGTTTTCAAAATCCGCTCAAAGCATCAACGTGTTTGATCTTTCTTTGTCCCCACATTATCCAAAATCATTGTCCCCACAATTTCACTTGTGAAAGCTAGGTATGTTATTTTACACAAACTTTTGTACTCTATAATTGTTGAACTTTATTGAAATATTTTCCCATTAATGGGTTCAACTACTAGATTTGGTTGTTGACAAGGAAAAAAAATCAAATTGTTGTAATTACTTCAATCCCGGATCTATACCTGGTTCGGGATTGAATGTAAACAATCCCGGTGCATCACGTATTTGGACTGTCTCGGATATATCTCGGACCTGTCTTGGTTCGTGACATGTCCCGGACTAATCTCAAAGCATATTTAGTCCGGGACATGTCTTGGACCAGTCTTGCTTCGAGATTTGTCCGAGACATGTCTCGGACCAAGACTGGTCCAAGATTCATCCGAGACATTTATTTTTTTTTCTTGATTTTTAATATTTTATTTTTGAATGATCGATTTTCCTATCTCACTTAGTTTTATCTATTTGCAGGATACCTCGTGTTTTCATAACATTCGATGGAGAATGGAATGATAGTGAAAAAGATTATGTCGGCAGTTGTACGAGGGGATTGACAATGGATAGTACAATCACGTACAGAGAATTTCTAGGTCACGTGTATAGATTGACTAACATTAACCCCCTACAGTTTGATATTATAATTAGACAAGTGTATCATTTTAAAACCAAAGTTTGTGTGGTGGAAATAACTGATGACGATGACTTACGTTTTTTTTTTACTGGTGAGGATGTATCTGAATTGCTTATATATATATCTAATGTGCTAAAGCAGGTATATGGGAATGAAACATACATGCCTTCTTTTTCATATTATGTAGGCCAAAACGTGTCCTCGATTCCTATGTCCGCAGCTTGTATTCTCCCATTCCAGAGACCCAAATATCCTATACCCTCATTTCCTTCCTCATCATCGAACCCCTCTTCTTCCCGACAACCACACCCCTCCTACGAGCATATAGGTCATGATGTAGAGGGTTTAACACCATTGGGGTCAGATGTGTTCCATGTAATCTGGGAGATGACAGATGTGTGATTGGGATGTGCCGGGAGTATGGAATGATAACGAAGATGAAAGTGGTGAATCATATGACCCGTTGGCAGAGTTTGAAGAAGAACACTCTCAAGCAAAATATGGGAATGAAGAGCATGACAATGCGCTTGATGATGAGCTTGAGCCTGATGTGGAACAAGTGCACACTGAGATTCGCATGGATGAAGAAGCGGTCCGGCCACCGGGATGTAATGGTCTCACCAGACACCCTAATGATGAGAAATTGCAACTCATAGTACAGTCTTCTGGGACAAATGATGTTAATGATGGCGATGTATTTGATAATAAGAAGGAGTTGAGTTTGAAAATGCATTTAATTGCAATAAGGAAGAATTTTCAGTTTAAAGTAAAAAACGTCGACGTCGGAGCTATATATATTGCGGTGCGTTCATGCTGATTGCACGTGGAGACTTTGAGCTACCAAGCTAAAGGAATGCACCTTGTTCAAGATAAAAAAGTTTTGTGCTGCCCATACATGCTATGGTGGGACTTTAAAACATGATCATAGGCAAGCCAAAAGTTAGGTGGTAGGACATCTTGTGCAAGAGAAGTTCACAGACGTCTCCTGCGCGTATAGACCGAAGGACATTATACAAGACATGAGGAAGGAGTATGGTGTCAATTTAAGTTATGATAGAGCATGGCGTTCTAGTGAAGAAGCACTCCGGCTTATTAGAGCTGATCCAACATCGTCATATGGTCTACTTCCAGCTTATGGTGAAGCTTTGAAAATCATGTACCCAAGTACTATTTTCGAATTAGAACTAGAAGGTGGCAAATATTTCAAATATGTATTTATGACATTGGGTCAATCGATTCGAGGTTTTCTGGATTATATTAGACCAGTGTTGGTTGTTGACGAGGCCCATCTAAAGTGGAAGTTCGGAGGGGTATTGTTATCAGCTTCTGGTGTCGATGCGAATAACCATATTTACCCGATAGCATTTGCGATTGTCGACGGTGAGACGGTAGCATCATGGGTGTGGTTTATGACTCAAATAAAACGTGCGCTCGCCGGAGTGGATAATTTGGTTTTTGTTTCTGATAGACATTAAACCATTTGCAAGACAATCGACAAGGTATTTCCTGTTGCATTTCATTGCTTTTGTATACAGCATATCAAAGTTAACTTGATAGCAAAATTTAAAGACGATACGAAGACAGTTGAGGAACTATTTTTAAAGGCTGCAAAGGCGTATTGCGAGTCATATTTCAACTCGATCTGGGCCCAACTTCGTGCATACCTTGGTGTACGGGAATATCTAGACGATATTGGGAAGGAGCGTTGGGCTCGTTGTTTCCAAACTCAATTGAGGTACACACAGATGACTACAAATATCGCAGAGTCTGTAAATGCCCTCTTCAGGCACGCCCGTAAGTTGCCGGTTACCGCCTTACTTGACCACATTAGAGGTAAGTTACAGACTTGGTTCTATGATCGACGGACGCTTGCAGCTTCCCGATCAACCACATTGTCTGACTACGCAGAAAACATGTATGCCGAATATTCAGATAGGGCGCGGAGACACGTAGACAACATTGACCAGTTCCATTTCCAGGTACAGGATGGCAACCTTGACGGGATTGTTGATTTGAACGCTATGACGTGTAGTTGTCAGGAGTTTTATTACTTTAAGATTCCATGCTCTCATGCTATTGCGGCAGCGACGATGCGAAATATAAATCCATACAGTCTGTGCGACGAGGCATATACGGCGAACTCTTGGATATTGGCTTATGCAGAACCTATATTTCCAATCAGATACATCTCGACATGGAGCAGTTCGCCAGAGTTTGTCAACATACCAGTGGAACCACCGAAGACTGTTCCAAGAGTTGGGAGGAGGAAGACAGCTAGGATTCCTTCCATGGGCGAGGTACGACAAATATGTAAATGTG